ATTTGAAAAGAATGTGTATTTAGCTTCTTTGGGATGAAGTGCTCTATATATATCAGTTTAGTCCATTTCATCTAGGGTATTGTTTAATGCTGCAATACCTTTGTTGATGTTTTGTTTGGAATATCTGTCCATTTTTTATAGTGGGGTGTTAAAATCCCCTACTATAACTGTGTTGCTGTCAATATCTTTCTTGAAGTCCTCTAAAATTTTCATTGTATATTTGGGTTCTCCGACGTTGGGTACATATATATTTACAATGTTAATGTCTTCTATGTGGAATCTTCTCTTGAGTATTATGAAATGACCTTCTGGGTCTCTCTTTACGGCCCTCTTTTTGAAGTCTATTTTGTCTGGTATGAGAATTGCTATCCCTGCTTTTTTTTTTCCGTTTGCTTGGAAAATGTGTTTCCAGCCTTTCACTTTAAGTCTGTGATGGTCTTTTGTCCTGATGTGGGTCTCTTGTAGGCCCAATACATGAGGGTTGTGGTTTCTTATCCATTCAGCTATTCTATGTCTTTTGATTGAAGCATTTAATCCATTTACGTTTAAGGTTATTATTGATAGGTATTTATTCATTGCCTTTTTTTTAACCTGTGTTTCTCTCTGTCTCTTATTTTTCCTTCCTTTCCTTAAAGCAGTCCTTTTAGTATTTCTTGTAGGAAAGATTTGGTGGAGGCTTATTCTTTTAGACTTCTTTTGTCTTAGTAGCTCTTTATTTGGCATTCTAAGTTGATTGAGAGCATTGCTGGGTAAAGTATTCTTGGGTGTAGGCCTCTGGTTCTCATTACTTGAAGTATTTCTTGCCATTCTCTTCTTGCTTGGAGTGTTTCCATTGAGAAGTCAGTAGCTGCCCTTATTGGGGCTCCCTTGTATGTTCCTTCTTTTTCCTCCCTTGCTGCCTTTAAGATTCTCTCTTTGTCTTGGAATTTTGCCATTTTGATGATGATGTGTCTTGAAGTGGGCCTCTTTGTGTTCCTCTTGATTGGGGACTCTCTTTGGTTCCTGTATTTGTTTAATAATTTTCTCATCAAAGTAGGGTAGTTTTCCCTAATTATTCTGTCAAATATGTTTTCTATCCCGTGTTCTTTTTCTTCACCTTCTGGTATTTCTATTATTTGGATATTATTATGTTTCATATTATCTTGCATTTCTGTTAATCCCTCTTCATTATTTCTGAACTTCTTTTTATTTTCCTGTTCTTTCTGTGAGATGTTTTCTACTTTGTCCTCCAACTTGCTAATCTGATTCTCCACCTCATCAATTGTACTTTTGAAACTTTCTATTGTGTTCCTCTATTCAGAAATTGTATTCTTCATTTCCTATTGTTCCTTGTGGAAAGTTTCTATTTCCTTTTTCATGTTGATATAGTTTGCGGTGAGATCATTATAACTCCCCTTTAGTTTCTGGTAGCTCATTTTGAGCTCTTTGAACTTCGTGATAACCAGTGCTTTAAGTTCACTATCTGATAGTTGATTAGCCTCTATTTCATCTAACATTCTTTCTAAAGCTTCCATTTTTCTTTCATTTGGTGATTGTTTCTTAGTCGTCCCATTGTTTTGTGAGACTCTTCTTGTTAGCGTCAGCTTCTAAAATTGATCTCTTCTGACTCCATTGGTTTATGTTTTGAACTTCTGTGGTATAATACCTAAGAATTACAGTGGTACAGACTCCTTCAGGTATGGCGATGTTCTCCATTTCCAGCTACTCCTTTTATTATGTATGTGTAATCAGTTGGAGGGGGAGGCAAAATGGTTCATGAGAGAAGAAGAGTATTTTATGATATTTACAGTCACAGCCAGTAGAGAGGAGATAGGTGATCTTTAGGCTATATATAGTGTTAACTGTATTCTTCAACCCAACTTGCCACTTTTATGAAAGAATGGAGAAAAGATAAGCCTCTTGTTGAGGAGGGAAGACTTATTAGTTGGAACTAGAAAGCATTGAGGTTGCAGACGATCAGATTTTGAGGTAAGGTGAGTGTAACGACCAGTAAATAGGTGTAGTGTGTGAGCAAATAGAGTTAATCACTACAATAATAGAATTCAGGGATCTTTACAATGGGCTGAGATCTGGGAGAAGGGTTATGAAGTACTTAGAGTTGTATAGATCAGCTATTATTTACACTAATATTAGAGCAGCAATCATATAACAAACTTTATGTGATCTGTCTGGGTAGGGGGTATAGAGCTTTGGGTAGTGTGCTAAAGGAAAACAAGTGTCATGGAGTATGGAGGATTAGCAAAACACTGTGTAGAAAGAACAGGGGAAACCTGTATAAAAATATAATATAACCACTCAAGACTAAGAAGCCTATACAGAAGGAGGAGGAATAAAGAGATACTATAAAAATATAAAAGAAGTGAGAATAATGAAAAATATGCAGCAATTCGTGGCTTCTCTGCTATAGGAAACTAAAATTTGTCTCTCTGTCTCTACTGTTGAGATGCCCCCTGTTTGGGTCGCACTCTGGTGTTTTCGCAGTTTACAGTTGTTTGTGTCTCTTGTGGGTAAAAGAAGACAAAGCAACAAAGAAACAAACAAAGAAAAAGGCAGAAGAAGGGAGGCAAAAGCGATGAGTTTGAGAGGAAAAAAAGGAGGACTAAAACAGGGAAAAGGGAGAGGAACAAAGCATAGAAAGATAAAGCAACAATAAAATTTAAAAATATATAAGATTACTAAACAAATGCAAAAAAGTTACTGAAAAAAAGAAAAAAAGAATAAAAATATAACAAAAACAAAAATACCCTTCCTTTGTTGGTTTCAAACTGTCCAGACTGTTGTTTCTGGTTGCAGCCGGATCTCTCTGTGGGCTGGGATGCTGGTGCAAGTATGCACACCATCCAGGCTACCACGGTGAGGTGTGGGCACTTGCACACTCTCCAAGCTGCTTGGGTCCCACATGTTCTGGTAGGGTTTTTCCCAGTCCTGTGGTGGAACTCAACCGCTTCTGTGCCTGTGAACATACACCAGGTGAAACCATCAAGGTGCTTCCCAGTCCTGTGGCGGGGACTCAGAAGATTCTCCACCTGTGCATACCCGCTAGGCTGTCTGGGATCAGAGAAACTAACTGGCAAGGTGCTTCCAGTCCTGTGGCAGGACTCAGAAGCTTCTGCACCTGTGCACAACCACCATGTTGTTTGGGACCCAAGAAACTGTCAAGGTGCTTCCCAGTCCTGTGGCGGGGACTCAACTGCCCCTGCTTTCCCCCTGGCTCGCAGCAGGGCTTGGTGGGAAGCAAGCCAAGCTGCTGTGGCAGGAGAACACCTCAGTCCACTTTCAAAAATAAAACAAAACTCTCCAGACAGCCTGCCTCTCAGCCCAGCCCAGTCCCCAGCCAGACCAGTGAGAACAATGCAACACTCAATTTTCCCTGGCTGGCAACCACATTCTGCAGTTGAACATGGCCCTCTGTCTTTGTAAACCTCCCTGTTAATGCAAGCAGGCAACCAGAAAGGTCTTTGCCAGGTGTTGTCCAATTTTGCTTATATGGGGAGTGGGAGAGCTGCTGGCTTATGCTGGTGACCACTGGGGCTGCTGATTGCCCAGGCTCCTGTGGCACTCTGGTGCTGGTCTCAGATGGATGGTTTTGGACCCTGACCATAGAGGCAGCACTGGGGCCTCCTGACGGGGGGCACCGGCCCCTGAAGCCACTTTGTCTTTACTCAGGTCCCGGAGACCCCACTGAGCTGTTGCTGTCTGGTGTTTCAGCATCAGTCACAGCCTCTGGTCTTTTAATTTCATAAATGCTGGTTAACAGATGGTTCATTGTGCTGTTTCTCTGTAGATCTGCCAGGATTTCCAGCCACGAGTACGGGAGCTAGAATCCTCTCCATCCTACTCTTTTGACATCTTCCCAGCATCCCCTTAAATGGAGATTTTTGTCTTCCTGAAATGAGGTCCTATGTGCTCTTTATATGTTTTGGAGATCAGACCATTGTCTTCGAAATAATTACCAAATATGTTTTCCCATATGGCGTGTATTATTTTTATTATAACTCTGTTTTATTTAATCATGCAGAAGCTCTTTAATTTTTTCTTTTTTAAAATATATTTTATTAATTATGCCATTACAGTTGTTCTATTTCCGCCCTTCATTCCCCTCCACCCTGCACACCCCCTTCCCCACCATCCCCCCCTTTAGTTTGTGACCATGTGTCTCAAGTTCTTTACATTCCATATTTCCCATACTATTCTTGCCATCCTCTCTATTTTCTACCTGCCATTTGTGCTACTTATTTTCTGTACCTTCTCCCCCCTTCTCCTTCTCCCACTCCCCTGTTGCTAACTTTCCCTGTGATCTTCATTCCTATGGTTCTGCTCCTGATCTAGCTGTCCTCTTCGTTTGCTTTTGTTTTAGGGGTGGTTGTTAATAACTGTGAATTTGCTGTCCTTTCACTGTTTATATATATTTTTTATCTTCTTTTTCTTAGATAAGTCCCTTTAACATTTCATATAATAAGGGCTTGGTGATGATGAACTCCTTGAATCTGATCTTATCTGAGAAGCATTTTATCTGCCCTTCCATTCTACATGAATGCTTTGCTGGGTAGAGCAATCTTGGATGTAGGTCTTTGGAGTTCATGACTTGGAATACTTCTATCCAGCACCTTCTTGCCTCTAAGGTCTCTTTTGAGAAATCTGCTGACAGTGTGATGGGAACTCCTCTGTAGGTGACTTTCCCCTTATCTCTTGCTGGTTCTAGGATTCTCTCCTTCATTTTAATCTTGGCTAATGTAATTATGATGTGCCTTGGTGTGTTTCTTCTTGGGTCCAACTTCTTTGGGACTCTCTGAGCTTCCTGAATTTCCTGGAAGTCTATTTCCTTTGCCAGATTAGGGAAGTTCTCCTTTATTATTTGTTCAAATAAGTTTTCCACTCGTGGCTGTTCCTCTTCCCTTTCTGGTACCCCTATAATTTGGATGTTGGAATTTTTTTTTATTTCTTTTGTTCCATTTATTTTTCCAAATTGCATTTTACAGTAGAAATGCAGATCACTTTGGATAGCTATGGCTCAATACTGATCGGTGCTCTCCTCTTAAGACATCATCTTCTTACACTCCACTGAACAGAAAACCATGCCTTCTACTGGCATGAACCTCTGCCCAATGAGACACTTGCTGCAGCAGGAACACAGGAAACACTCTGTGGATGCATGCCAGCTGAAATTGTTGTAGGTCACCCGCTGCACTTCAGGATCAATGGCATTATGGCATCCTTGACATACCACAGCATGATTCTTCACATAGCAGGGCTTGCACACGGGCTTGTCACTGACCATCACATATATTTCCCCAGCTAGGATGTTGTCGCAGTCAAAGCAGCAGAAGTGTTTCAGATGCCAATTTTGGTTTTCTGCCTGGGTATACTCATTGCTGAATATCAGCTCATCACAGCCAGCACATCGGGGTTTTTCACTGTCACAGTAATGTCTGCCACAGTATAGCTTCCCATTCTTCCAGAAATAAATCATGTCGACCAGGAGCTCATGGCAGGTACTGCACATGAAACAAGCTGGGTGCCATAGTATATCGTAGCCAGCCCTTTCAGCATAGATGGCTGGGTCACCTTCCTTCATACTCAGTTTTCAGCAGTAGCAGGAATACTGAGTTCTTTTGTGTTCGGCTGATTTGTCCTCCCCGGTCCCCACCGCTGCTGTGGTGTTTCTGTCTCCACCAGGGATGTACATTCTGTTGGAGGCTTGAGCATCCATCTCATGGGGAAGTTTGACATCTCCTACTCCCAGAGCCTCACTCTTGTATTTCTTCACAAACTGCTCCATCTCCTTCACTTCTTTGGGAGACAACTCGTGGCACTTGGTCCTGGTCGTGGACAGGGAGCTGTTTGGCCAGCTGCTTCTTCCGGTACTGTGCCCCCTCTGAGCCTGCCACTGGCTGCTTCTCCTTGGGCAGCATCTGCATGTACTGCCTGGCCAATGCCTGATTCTGGACAGGTGAGCCCATTCAAATTTTTAAAGATGTCCTGAAGGTTCCTAAGCCTCCTCTCACTGTTTCGAATTCTTGTTTCTTCATCCTTTTCTGTTTGGTCATTTTTTTCCTCCTTCTGGGCCCCTCTTTTTATTTGAGTCCCAGTTTTCTTTCCATTACTATTCATTTCCTGTGCATTTTCCTTCATTTCAATTAGTTTAGCCTTCATATGTTACCCTAATTTGTGGCTAAAATCAACCAGTTTTGTGAGCATCCTGATTACCAGTGTTTTGAACTGTGCATCTGAAAGTTTGGCTATTTCTTCATTGCTTAGATTTATTGGCTCTAGGGCTCTGAGTTGTTCTGGAGCCATATTTTGATTTGTTTGTGCCTGTTATGTATGAGGAGTAGAGCCTTAGTTGTTCACCAGGGAGGGGCCACCCAGGTCACTGGTGTGTGAAGCTGTATGTGGGGGTGGGGTCAGAGAGGGAAAATGGTGGTTCCCTCTGCCACTTCCTGCCACTGGGGCCTGCACAGTCCATCTCACTGCTGGCTCCTTCATGGGTTTATCTGGGAGCGAATGTGTGACCAGGATCAGCCCTCAATGAGTCCACCACCTTGTGCCCTCAGTGGATCCGCCCACTTCTCCACACCTGGGATCTACCCACAGCTGTTGGCACACCTGTGTCGCACGCCCTGGTCAGTCTGGTGGATCTTTCCTTCCCAACCCCGCTTTGCTGCAGGCTCTGCCCCTCTAACCAGTTTGGCTGAATGGTTCATTGTTGTCAGACTTCTGTGTAGTTCAATTTTCTGTGGTTTTGGCTGTGTTTTTGTTGCTAAAACTTTGTTGTTTTTAAACTTGGTTGTGCGAGAAGGGGCAGTACTTCCACCTACGTCTCCATCTTGGTGGAAGTCCCTTACCTGTTAGAAGCTGTTTAATTTAATGAGGTCCCATTTTTTTTTCTTTTTTTATGTGCCTTGCTTTAGGAGACATGCCTGTGAAGATGTTGGTGTTTGGAAATCTGAGATTTTTCTTCCAGTGTTTTCCTCTAGGGCATTTATGGTGTCATGACTTATATTTAAGTCTTATCCACCTTGAATTTATTTTTATGTTTTGTATAAGTTGGTGATTGAGTTTCCTTTTTTTGGCATGTAGCAGTCCAGATATCCCAACACCATTCATTGAAGAGTCCATTTCACTCCATTTTATATTTCTTCCCACTTTGTCAAATATTAATCGACTATTTTTTGACTTGGGTTTGTTTCTGGGCTCTCTGTTCTGTTCCATTGATCTGTGTGTTTGTACTTGTGAAAGTACCGGGCTGTTGTGATTACAGTGGCTTTGTAATACAGTTTGATATTAGGTATTGTTATCCCTCCTACTTTGTTCTTCTTTCTGAAAATCACTGCAGCTATCTGGAGTTATTGATGGCTCCATATAAATTTTTGAATTGTTTGCTCTATATATGTGAACTATCATTGGTACTTCAATAGGGATTGTGTTGAATCTATAAATTGCTTTCTTGTTTTAGACATTTTGATTATGTTAATTTTTTTAATTCATGAGCATGGTACATGATTGTGAAGTACTTTATCTGCCCTTTGATGCTAAATGATAGTTTAACTGGGTAGAATATTTTGGTTCCTGCTTTTCATGACTTTGTATATTACTTTTTATTTCATTCGGATCAGTGAAATTTCATTTCAGAAGGAGACCATTTTACAAAAATTCCCCTAAACGTAATTTACTGATTTTCCTCTTGCTACTTTAGTATTCTCTATTTATCATTAAACTTTGGCATCTTAGTTATGATGTGTCTTGGAGTGGGCTCCTTTGCATCTATCTTGTTTGTTACTCTCTGTGCTTCTTGCATTTGCATGTCTATTTTCCTCACCACATTAGGGAAGTTTTATTTCATTTTTCTTCAAAGAGATTTTCAATTTCTGCTCATTCTTTTCATCTGTGGTATCCCTATAATGCAAATGTTGGGGTGTTTGTGATTGTCCCAGAGCCTGCTTACACTATCCTCATTTTATTGGATTATTTTTTCTTTGTGTCACTCTCTTGGCTGCCTGTTTGTTTGTTTGTTTCCTTATATTCCAAATCATTGATTTGATTCTGGGTCATACTCTCTACTATTGTTTTTGTTTTGTAATCTTTAAAAAATTTACATTAGTATATCTTTCATTTCTGCCTGGATCTTTTTTTTTTCATGGTCTTGCGATCTTCACTACATTCCTTGAACATCCTTATAACCAGTGTTTTGAACTCTGAACCTGACAGATTGCTTATCACCATTTTGTTTAGTATTTTTATGGAGATTTGATTTGCACTTTCGTTTCTTTGTCTTCTGATTTTGACAGTGCTTTATTGTTTCTATGTAGTAGATAGAGTTGCTTTGACTCTCTATCTTGGTAGTGTGGCCTAGTGTAGTAGGTGTTCTGTAGGGGCCATCACCCCCTATTGTGCAAGCTGAGTACATGAGGTGCACCCATTAAGTGCAGTGAGTACATCATCCTCTTATAGTTGAGCCTTGATTGTTTTCAGCAGGTCAATGGAAGGCATTTATATACACCAGTAAGATGCAAGGTCTGTCTGTGACCAGTGACCAGCTAATTTTGCCCTCTGTGGGGGATTATCTGTGTAGGGGCAAGGCATTCATGCTCCTAGATAGCTTTCTACTGGGTGCAAAGTCTCTAGGGTTTCCGAGCTAGTGTAGGCCAAGGTCAGACTTCACCTGTGTTCTGCCTGGGGATACCCTGACTTAGCTATAAAACTGTCTGCAGAAGGCTGCTGTTGTGCTGGGCTTGGAGTGTCCCAGGAGAAGCCAAACTGTGAACCTACACTGGCAGCTTCTAGTACCAGACCTCTGGGCACTTATCAAGTGATAGGGTTTTAGGAAGTTGTGAAGTATGAGCCAACACCTGTTATGTACTACTCTGCCTGGTTTCAGGAATTGTAACTCTCTACCCCCAGTGGCTAAGGATGAGTCAGTGACCATTGCAATGCAAGCCACAGGAGACAAAGCTTGTCTCTGGTAGCAAATGCTGCTTCAGTTTCCTCCCTGCCCTCAAAGCATGGTTGGAAGTCCTTGATGAGCAAGACCTCTCACAGCAAGGGGCAACCTAGGCTAGACAAGATCACTTGGGAGGCCATCTTGGAAGGTCTCAGGGAGCTGCAACAGTAAGCAATGGACTCTCGACCCCCGGTTTTGACAAAGTCCGAGTCCCCATGTCCCCTGGGAGAAGTGCTTCCTGTCTCTAACACCCCTAAGCCTGAATAGCTGATGGGGAGGGGTGCAGCTTCTTGCCTTGCTAGAACATGTCCTGGGGAAAAATCTGGCATCACAAAGACTTCCTGATAAACCAGTAAAATCTGCTCTGCTAAGAGTGTTTCATTCCTATGTTAAGGGTTGGAACAGGAAAACATAAAACTCTATTCCTGACAGACTCTGACTCAGATTAAGCCCTCAGAAATGTTATCTACTGTTTGTTCCTTGCCGCCCTGTATTGCTGTGTATTACAACCCTATAAAAGCCCTTGGAGGAAGGGGCTCAATGTCTTTTCCCCATGAGAAACTGGCCACTGCTTGAGGCCTTTTTACTCTGGAAAACTGGTCACCTCTCTTCCCCAAGCAGATAACGTCATGTCTCTGTCATGTTTACTCTCATCCATGGCACATGGGGGAACTTGCAAGGACAATCACCCCCACAAACATCAGCAATTATATGAAAAAAAAAGCACTCTTCACACCTTGGGTGAACCCACATGTTGGGTGTTATGTTTCCTTAGGGGAACTCCAGAGCACGGCCAACAGCTTTATCATGGTTGATGGAGTCTCTGATATGGCACTTGCATGCCAGTTCAATGGGTCTGGCTAGAGAGGGATGAGAAGAGGGACAACAGACTCTGTTCGACTTTGTCTGGGAGAAAGCTGTTCCCCAGCAGTTGCCTTGATGTCAGACACTTAATTACTTCCTTGTATGACACTAGTGCCTTTCAAGCTGCTACCCTGATGCTATTGATCAGAGGGATTGAGTATGAGTAAGTCCATGTGTGGTTTCCTTAAGAAAAACTGTCTGGGATTCTAGAAGTTTCTTCCACTGAATTCATCCCCATTCAACTTTCTCGCCAGAAGTTATGGGGACTTTTCTTCACCGCACTGGAACCTTGGGCATTAGGACCTGGTTTTGATGTGTGAATCCTTGTCCAAAATGCCCCTTGCAAAAATTTTCCACCAAAGTGAATATGGGACTGACCTCTTCCATGCCTTCACACCTCTTTCCTGTCTGGATGGATGTAGATGTCCATCTGCGAACAGACACATCCTACCTAGTATTACTGTGTGAGAGACTCAGGAAAATAAAGTCAGTGTGATCCCTAACACATATATTTCTATGGAAAGACAAAAAGATTGAAGTGCACGGTTTACTCAGGATACCAGAGAACACTGAAGATACAAGTGCACATAGTGTAAAAAGTCCTATCACTGTATAAAGGGGACTCAAAGCAGCCAGGGCCAATTTTCTTGGTTCCCTGTTCCTGTCTTAGCACCTGCTCCTGCTCCTGTGGAGACACCCATCCCCCATGGGTCTGCTCTCAGGTATCCTGGCTGTGAGCTCTAAGAATGGAGACCTGTGGGCTCTAGACAGTGTGATCTCCGCATATAATGACCCAGTGTTGACTACACCAACAAAAACTGTCCTCTGGTTATGATCCTCCTGAAGACAAGGCAGGACCCGTCTCACCACAGTGTCTTCAGGTTCCAGGCTCTTGGATAGCAGGTAAAAACAAAGAGTTGACTCTTGCCATCCTGTATGTCAATCACGTTCACTTTTTTTCTGTTGTCAAATCAGGGAACCTGTTAGGTTAGCATCAGTATGAGGGACCTGCCCATGTGCTAAGAACAGGGGAAAAAGGAGACCAGTAGATCATTAACATAAAAATCATCTCTCTGTGTGTATATGCAATTTATTGAGTACTAGATGAGAAATGGCATTAGGGCAACATGCAGAGCTACTCAAATGGAACCTGCA